TGGCTCTCCAAATCAACACAGACTGTGGAAACTTCAAACTGGACTTCAAGCATCTTGCAGTGTGTGCCTCTCCATTCTTCCTCCATACTCGGGGTCCTTGGTTTCCAAATGAGATGCAAAAGTTGCTCTCATCAGAAAAGAGGACTTTGGACCACTGAGCAATAGACCAGGTCTGTTTTTATTTAGCCCAGGTAAGACGCTTCTGACGTTGTTTGTTGTTCAGGAGTGGCTTGACAAAAGGAATACGACATTTGAAGCCCATGTCCAGGATCCGTCTGTGTGTGGTGGCTCTTGATGCACTGACTCCAGCCTCAGTCCACTCCTTGTGAAAGTCCCCAACACTTTTGAATGGCTTTTTCCTGACAATCCTCTCCAGGCTGAGGTCATCCCTACTGCTTGTGCACCTTTTTTCTTCCACACTTTTTCCTTCCACATAACTTTCTATTAATGTGCTTTGATACAGCACTTTGGGAACATCCAACTTCTTTTGCAATTACCTTTTGAGGATTTCCCTCCTTATGGAGGGTGTCAGTGATGGTTTTCTGCACAACTGTCAGGTCAGCAGTCTTTCCCATGATTGTGATTCCTACTGAACCAGACTGAGAGACCATTTAAAGGCTCAGGAACCCTTTGTAGGTGTTATGGCTTAATTAGCTGATTAGAGTGGGACACTTTGAGCCTAGAATATTGCACCTTTTCACAATATTCTCATTTTCTGAGATTGTGGATTTGGGGTTTTCATGATCTGTAAGCCATAATCATCACAATTATGACAAATCACGGCTTGAACTATCTTGCTTTGCATGTAACACTGTTCAACAGGTAAAAAGTTTTGGGCATAAAATTAGCTAATCTTACATAATTTTGGGGTGCTGAAAACGAAAATGACCCTAAAAAATGTTGATTGGCTCTAGTTTCCATGATATATTCACCCATCTAATGACGTAAGCCATTCAAAATTATGATGCAACTTCAGCTGCATATTGCGCAATTGATACTGGTGACCAATAGAAAATTGCATGTATACTGAGATGATGCAATATTAGCCTTTAATTGCATCACTTCACTGCATAAAAGCTGCAGTATCTGTAGCTGATTGTAGTTCGACAGCGTCTTTACATTTTGTTTTATGCTTATATAGGCTACTCAGTAATGCCTCGAACTTGTGTGAATAAAGCAGATAATTTCTGCTATATCTGCGGTGAAATAACTTTTATCTCACAAAAAAGGAGGATAACAGGAATGATTAAGAAAGCCTACAACTTGTATTTTGGCTGCAAGATAGGAGACCAGGACAAGAGCTGGGCACCACATATATGCTGCAATTCTTGTGGGACGGCACTGGAGCAATGGTTGAATGGAAAAAAGGCATCTATGCCTTTCGCTGTGCCAATGATTTGGAGAGAGCCAACAGATCATGTTAGTAATTGTTACTTTTGTATGGTGCCTCCAATTGTAAAAGGGCTAAATAAGAAGAAAAAGTTATCTGTGCACTATCCAAATATTCCATCGGCAATACGTCCAGTTCCTCATGGAGAGGGCTACCAATTCCTAAAGCACCAGAATCCTTCGTGGTTGAGTCAAGTGAGGAAGAACCTGAAGCGTGTAGTCACGTGCAGTTGTAAGAGATAGCCCTTTCCTCGAATACAAGAGAAAAGCCAAGAGAAGCAAAACCGACACAAACTGAAGACAAAACTAGTGAGAATCCTAAGTATTAAAATGATTCAACTTAGCTTATGGCTATAATTTTTCTTGGTAATCCTATGCAATATATTATGCCATTTAGGCTTTGTTATGTAGTCAATATCACTTGCTTTTATTTGTGGAAAGACATCTATCTATATAATTATTGTGCATTATGTAGTCATTACGCCTATAGTAGAAAACTTTCCGTTTACAGAAAAACTAGAGCCAATTGACAAATTTCATTGTTATATTTGAACTCAGAATGTGAAATTCATTAAGAAATGGATCCTTTTGTTTCCAAAACTGGCAAAAAATAAAAATTTGTTGAACAGTGTAATGAGTCTATCTCATATATTAGTTTCACCTTTTAAGTTGCATTACTGAAATAAATGAACTTTTGCACGATATTCTAATTTTTTGAGTTTCACCTGTATGGCTTTGTTTGTTCTAGGTGGAGTCCTCTAGGTGGCAGCTCCCCCGTCCCTCCCGAATTGGACTGACATACTGAAAATTGCTTTTTTTCTTTGTTTTATCTATCAGCTGGAGCACCTTTTGTCTGTGCCATTCTTCATTGAGACTGGTCACTTTTTTAGAAAGAAAAACTATTAGGGCTGTTAAACCATACACAACACAAGCAGGTACATAATCCTAAGCCTGCTGTAACTTCTGGTTTTGATTCCCATTTCTGTTCTTTGATCACAAAAAGACCAGAAGACTGGATGTGCCTAATATTTTACAGGCTGTTCATGATGAAAGAAATAAGAACACTGAGCCACTTAACAGGGACAAGCAATAAGATAATTATTGACAGAATGATTTAGGCCTCATGCACACTGAACATTTGCTCTGCTCATCTGAACACAGTAAAAGCTCGTGTTTAGGCACGTTTATGCTTGTTCCTCATGTTTTTCTGCACGAACGTTCCTCTCCTGAACGTGCTAATGATGGTTTTTTTCTGCCTCTAAATGCTCTTCTGTTAATATGGATGGACACATTGGCTAAGATGGAGGCAGAAAAGAAAATGCCAAACACCTCTAAAAGCTGAGGATTTTTCACCCAGTGTGCATGAGGCCTTAATGATAACAAGATAGCAAGGAGTGGAACCATCCAAAGTACACATTGCACTTGTGAAAAAGGTTCTAAGTGGCACAAAGAGGAATTTTCCAGCTCAAAAAGTATCCACAAAATGGGCAACCATTGTGCTTTGCAGTATTATTGTAAGGGAGTTACATGTAGTGGCACAACAATTCTGACTTACTGTGGAAAATATTGAGTAGGAATAGAAGAGAATGAGAAGACTTGCAGGACAATAAAAAAAGTGCTGATGATTGTCATCACAAACTTAAAGTAGTAAAAACATATTTTTGCAAAGAAACTCCAAATATTTGAGGATGTCCACTTGGAAAACTAGTTTTGTTATTATTTATTATACAGTATTTATAAAGCGCCAACAGTTTGCTCAGCGCTGTACATTACAATGGGAGACAATACATGCGACAGTACAATAACATCACAATGCGATACACGAGGATTCGAGGGGCCTTCTGCTCCTCGGAGCTTACAATCCAGGAGGGATGGGATAGTGGTACAGGAGGAAAAGCTGTGGGGGATGGAGTGGTAGGAAGAGTGGAGGAGGTCGGCAATTAGCAGGGGGTGGGGTAGGCTTCCCTGAAGGGGTGGGTTTTCAGGGTGCGCCTAAAGGAGAGGAGGGTAGGTGATAATCTGATGGGTTGGGGTAGGGAGTTCCAGAGGATGGGTGACGCCCTGGAGAAGTCCTGGAGGCGGGCATGGGAGGAGGAGACCAGGGAACTAGAGAGAAGGGGGTCTTGTGAGGAGTGGAGAGTGCGTGTTGGGTGGTACTTGGATATTAGGTCAGTGATGTAGTTCGGGGCAGTATGATGGACAGCTTTGTACATCAGTGTTAGGATTTTGAATTTGATCCGTTGGGCAATCGGAAGCCAGTGGAGGGATTGGCAGAGAGGGGGGTGGCGGAAACGGAGCGGTTGGTAAGGTGGATGAGTCTGGCAGCCGTATTCAGGATCTTTTGGTATAAGTGTGCGGCATAAAATCTTTGACATTCTCATTTTGAATTGATTTGCTCTGTTACATACATATTCAAATACTAATCTATGCAAAAGTAAAAATGTATATGTGAATGAATGCATATTGTGACAAAAATACTGGAAATAGTGTATGGAGAATATAAACTATCCATAATTCTGTCAAATTGTTGTTACGGCAATGAGGAAAAGTAGCTAAAGCACAGAGGTTACAAGATATAGATCCACATAGTAATCACTCAGTTAAATAGCCACAACTTTGAGTTGACGACCAAATATGTGTTTTTTACTAAAAAGTATAGCTCCTATAGACAGTGTTAAGGATGATCTTAGCAAAAAGTAATCAAGTATAAAGCTTCAATCACAGAAGGTTTTTTTTTATTTGAAGGCACAATATTCAGTAGTCCAAAATTCTCAAGACGGTATGTTGTTCCACTCAAAAATGAAGAGGTCCACAGAAGTGATATTATGTTTTTAGATCTGTGTATATACAGTTTTTTATGTAGTAATATTAGAATTAAGCCCCATAAGGGAAAATGCACCCAAAAAAGTAAAATAGCTACAGAGTGTGAGAGGTGTCATTGGTGTGCCACAGTTGTGTTCCAGCACGGACAGTCCCCTTCCTCCTTGCCACCCCAATGTAAGGAGGCACTGCCTTGAAAAAACAAACCACACTCCTTTGCCAATATGACCACATGGCCAAAACTGATGCCGGGACACAAGACCCACATTAGGACATAATGACAAACTTGTCCCTAATTTTTTTGCCAACCGTAATATGCCAGGGGTAGTATACCCATCAGTAAACAACTATTGTTGTGTACTTGTTAAATAGGGATGGAGGCTCCTCACAATGCATCAATCATCAACAAAATTTAATGTAGTCTCCTAACAGAAACCTTACAATGTCTAGATAGGATTAGACCACTGAACACTTACTCATAAATGTCAAGTTGTGTACAAACGTCATTTTATTCACATGAATGTACAGATTATATGAAATGCAAATGAAATGTATGAGATGTAATTTATTTCTTCTTTGATGATTTGCATTACTGGAAATCAGTAATAAAGAAATAGTTTTCAGTTCAAATGTAGAGTCTAAAGATTATTTCAACACTCACTGATCTTAAATTGCAAATGTATGACTTGTCTAAATATTATCTGAATACGGCATTTATAATTTATTCAAATTACAATTACCGTATTTTTCGCTCTATAAGACGCACTTTTTTCCCCAAAAAAAGGGGGGGAAAATGTCAGTGCGTCTTATGGAGTGAATGTAAAGCGGCCGATCTGGTATTTCTGCGGCCAACATGTCAGAATATCGGGCCGGCCGCTCAGCTCTTCTCTCCTGCAGGACCTTACCTGTTCCTCGCTCCAGCGCTGCAGTCTTCCCCTGTACTATGTCCGCAGTCTCTGGTCATCTCCTGTACTATGTCCACACTCTCTGGTCATCTCCTGTACTATGTCCACACTCTCTGGTCATCTCCTGTACTATGTCCGCAGTCTCTGGTCATCTCCTGTACTGTGTCCGCAGTCTCTGGTCATCTCCTGTACTATGTCCGCAGTCTCTGGTCATCTCCTGTACTGTGTCCGCAGTCTCTGGTCATCTCCTGTACTGTGTCCGCAGTCTCTGGTCATCTCCTGTACTGTGTCCGCAGTCTCTGGTCATCTCTTGTACTGTGTCCGCAGTCTCTGGTCATCCCCTGTACTCTGTCCGCAGTCTCTGGTCATCTCCTGTACTGTGTCCGCAGTCTCTGGTCATCTCTTGTACTGTGTCCGCAGTCTCTGGTCATCCCCTGTACTCTGTCCGCAGTCTCTAGTCATTTCCTGTACTCTGTCCGCAGTCTCTGGTCATCTCCTGTACTGTGTCCGCAGTCTCTGGTCATCTCCTGTACTGTGTCCGCAGTCTCTGGTCATCTCCTGTACTGTGTCCGCAGTCTCTGGTCATCTCCTGTACTGTGTCCGCAGTCTCTGGCCATCTCCTGTACCGTGTCCGCAGTCTCTGGTCATCCCCTGTACCGTGTCCGCAGTCTCTGGTCATTTCCTGTACCATGTCCGCAGTCTCTGGTCATCCCCTGTACTATGTCCGCAGTCTCTGGTCATCCCCTGTACTGTGTCCGCAGTCTCTGGTCATCCCCTGTACTGTGTCCGCAGTCTCTGGTCATCTCCTGTACTATGTCCGCAGTCTCTGGTCATCTCCTGTACTGTGTCTGCAGTCTCTGGTCATCTCCTGTACTGTGTCTGCAGTCTCTGGTCACCTCCTGTACTATGTCCGCAGTCTCTGGTCACCTCCTGTACTATGTCCGCAGTCTCTGGTCATCTTCTTTACTGTGTCTGCAGTCTCTGGTCATCCCCTGTAATGTGTCCGCAGTCTCTGGTCATCTCCTGTACTATGTCTGCAGTCTCTGGTCATCTCCTGTATTATGTCCGCAGTCTCTGGTCATCTCCTGTACTATGTCTGCAGTCTCTGGTCATCTCCTGTACTGTGTCTGCAGTCTCTGGTCATCTCCTGTACTGTGTCTGCAGTCTCTGGTCACCTCCTGTACTATGTCCGCAGTCTCTGGTCACCTCCTGTACTATGTCCGCAGTCTCTGGTCATCTTCTTTACTGTGTCTGCAGTCTCTGGTCATCCCCTGTAATGTGTCCGCAGTCTCTGGTCATCCCCTGTACTATGTCCGCAGTCTCTGGTCATCTCCTGTACTATGTCTGCAGTCTCTGGTCATCTCCTGTATTATGTCCGCAGTCTCTGGTCATCTCCTGTACTATATCTGCAGTCTCTGGTCATCCCCTGTACTGTGTCTGCAGTCTCTGGTCATCCCCTGTACTGTGTCTGCAGTCCATTGGTTCAGAATATTTTTTTTTTTTGTTTTTCTCCTCTAAAACCTAGGCGCGTCTTATGGTCAGGTGCGTCTTATGGAGCGAAAAATACGGTAAGCACTTTTTAACTAAGCTTTAACACTGGACAAGGAAGAAAATCATTACGGCCTCCTTGTTGATACTAGATATGAAGAAAGTAACTCACTTACAATTCTCAAGATCCAAGAGGTTTTCTGTCCATATTTATTCCTCCTTCTTTAGAAATACTCATCAAGAGTTAACCGCTTGACAACAAAAATTAAGATTCCTCTCTGGGAGCTTCACATGTATCAGTTACCTCTTTGAGGAACATCCCATGAGCAATGTAAATGAATATTAAAATCAAGAAAATAAACTTTTTATGCTGCATAACTTTTGAATATGGTTCATCATCTTATTTTAACTATATTTTTTATTTAGTACATTAAAAAAAAAATTATTTCAATCATATCTGCAAACACACACAGTAGTTTTGCAACTAGAGTGGATATTTATAAGTCTCTCTGGAATAAAAAAGTGTAAAGTCTTAGTTAGCATCTGGAAAATAATAATTATTCTGAATTAACTACCAAGCTATATTGTGGTCCGATTCAGTACAGTCAGTTCTCATTAGGAACATATTGGCACTAATTGTAAATAGGTCTTAATATACTCTGTTAAATTAACTGAAAAACTGTACTTACAAAACAGTGAATTAGTAGGGTTGCAGCTTAGTAGGGTTGCACTAACACATTACATTAAGGAATGGCATACAGTCTGTCAGGAAACTTCATGATGCTTTACAGAAAAAATTCAGACTGTTTATGAAACAGTGTAGAAAAAAAATGCAGAATCACTTTGAAAAAGTGATATTGACAGATGGATTGTAAGTGAGTTAGAAATGAATAATACTTTTTATTAAGATAACAGTTGTAAGACTAGCACTAGACTAAGCCCAGGCACCTTTTTCCTTATGCTTGTGACCAGGGGCAGACTGACCATTTGGAAACTCAGGCACTGCCCGAGGGCCCGGGGTCAGTAGGGGGCCCCATGAGATTCCCCTGGTACCTTTTTCATAGGCTTTAATGGCATTAGCCAGTGTATTCCAATAGGCAACAAATATAAAGGAACTAAAGTTAAACCTTGGTGGTTAGATTTGAGAATAAAAAGGCATATTAAAGAGAAAAAAAACTGTCATTTAAAAATAGAAGGCCAAGGGAACATTGTCAGCATTCTAGCACTACAAAGAATGGAAAAAGAAATGTAAAATCATGATCAAGACAGCAAAAAGAGACCACTAGAGACACATAGCAGAGAAGAGTTAAAATGATCCCCAAATTGTTTTTTTAAATATATTATAGTAAAAATGGAATGTTTTCCCCAAAAAAGATAATCAAGTTGGTTACATGTGGCAGGGAGAAGGCAACTGTGTTAAATACATCCTTTTCCTCAGTGTTTGCTATGGAGAAGGAGGGGGGTATAATAGAGAATAAATTATTGCTAGCAACAAAAGGACAGATCGTACCCCTGTGAAGCCAGTGTTCTAAGAAGACTTAAAAACTTAATGTCAACAAATCACCAGCACTAGAGGTCTTACACACAGGGACGGACTGACCATTTGGAAACTCGGGCAGTGCCCGAGGGCCCGGGGTCAGTAGGGGGCCCCATGAGATGCCCCTGGTACCTTTTTCATAGGCTTTTTTTTTTAGTTTGGGCAAGGACACAGGGGCCCCATGATCCCCTATTGCCCGGTGGCCCCATGAGTTGTCAGTCCGCCCCTGCTTGTAACTAACCTCTGTCTCTACCTGCTGTCTGTAGGTCTGTCTCATCATGTGTTCTCAGCTGTCTCTCATTCCATCTGTGCCTGAGAGACAGAGACAGGTATATACATTAACAGGCTTTGCTGATATTATTCAGCCCCTCTCCTTGTGTGGCTATTTATGATTGTGCCTTGGCATCCTTAAAAAATAGCTATTTTTATATGATTGCTTCTATCTCTGTGTATATGTCCTTAGTAAACATACTACCCAGGGGTGTACCTACAGGGGTCACCTGGATAGGAAGAGCAGCTGCATACAGAGGAATCAATTTCTCCATTCTCCTCCTGCAGCTGCTGAATGCTGGCTTCTCCTCCTCTGCTTCTTGCAGGCATTCAGCAGTTGCAGAACGAAAAGGGAGAGATTGCTTCCTCTATATGTAGTTGCTCCTGCCGCTCCTCCTATCTAGCTTCTTTCTGCCGCTTTCACTAAATGTTAAAATGTAAATACAATAGAACAATTAAAATAAAAGTATTTTTACAGAAAATAGCAAAATTATAGACAATGTCACAGTATTGTTGGAGCATATAAAGAACAATCCCCTGCGCTTAAATGAAAATACCCGACCCCTGAGCTGCTAACACCTCCCTTCAACCATGAAGTGTAAATCATAAATAAATAAATATGGTGTAGCGCTAAATACTCACATGAGTTTCCAAAATAAAACTCAAATATATAAATAATGAAATGAATACATAATAACATGTAAACATATAAATGTGTATCAATATAAAGTGAAATAGTGCACACACAACGATAAATATATATTGAAAGATACCCCCAACTTAGGGGATCAAACTAAGTGAACAATATAATCCGTAAAGAATAACAGTGCACGTGTACACAAAACACACTCAGTGAAAATTATATATATAAATGTCCACTAATAAAAGTCCACACGCTGCACAAACAATGTTGAATAGTGCTCACAACAATAACTAAAGGTGAATCCAGCGCCAAACAACTCGTGAATCCAAAAACAGCCAAAGTGCCCCCTCACCTCCTTCCAGTGACCACAAGGGCCAGCTCTCTTTAGGGTAAGACACGCTTTCCCAGGAATAGCCTCGTCACCATCAGATGGACCCTCCTGGATATCCCACAGATTAATAATCCTCCTGAGTACTCCAATCCCCTGGTACTTATAATGGTCGTTCACCCACACAGGATCATAGCAAAAACAAATAGAGATCCTCCATAGTGTAAATCAGTAATTTATTGCTCCAATAAACCCAGAAAAATTCCACTCACATGTCAAACAGCATTATCCAGCCTTTCCCCATACTATGGGTGCATATGCATGGTTCCGGGTGTTCCAAGATGGCCCCCACGCCGGAACTGACGTCACCGCGCACCGGAAGTCCTGTCACCGCGCACTGACGCGTTGCGTCACGATCACCACGTGACGTCTTCAGGGTATACTCCCATAGTGACAGAAATGCCTTAAATAGGCTGCCTGGGCGTCAATTAGGATCAAAGACAACCCCCGGCAGCCATTATCTCGAAGTCCAGTGCTCACTTACACAATACTGTCATAGATATTTATTTATTTATTTCAGGTACTTATATAGCGCCGTCAATTTACGCAGCACTTTACACATATATATTGAACACTCACACATCAGTCCTTAACCCTCAAGGGGCATACAATCTAAGGTCCCTAACTCACATTCATACATACACATACTAGGGACAATTTAGACAGGATCCAATGAACCTACCAGCATGTCTTTAGAGTGTGGGAGGAAACCGGAGCACCCGGAGGAAACCCACGCAAGCAAAGGGAGAACATGCAAACTCCATGCAGGAGGCGCCATGGTCGGGAATCGAACCCATGACCCATTTGCTGCAAGGCAGACGTGCTAACCACCAAGCCACTGTGCCGCCCAGATATACACCTTCTATTACATAGACAGCATTGTAAAACAAAATGCTAAATATTAACTGCTGGGAAACATTAATTGAGCTAAAAATACAT